AGAACGGCCTTTGAGTTCCACTTTTGTGGAAATACGGCTAAAACCAGCGGCTGAAACCGTCGTAAAAAATTACAATAGGATGGCCGCTCTCAGGTTTCTCTCTGGTATAAGTAACTCAGAACAAGGCACAGGAAGTTAAAACAGGACTGGGATACACAGGAGATGTAGCTCGTGCGCAGTCTCAGAACGGAATCCGCCATTATGCGCAATGTTACACCCATAGACTTATATAATAGACGGAACATTCGTGTAAGAGAAGCTGAAGCTTCGTTAAAAGAGACAGAAATAGTCATGGAATAATTTTCTTCTTTTCTAGCAGTAAGTTGATTGGTGGCCGCGGCAGGGCGAGAGCAACGAAGATAGAGTTCGAGAGTCAGTTAAAAGAAAGTGATAGTAAAAGATGATAGCATAGACTTGTGAGATGATTAGTCCCCCACTATCTTATTGTAAGAGAGAGAGACAACTACTCCAGCACTATCTTTGTCTTTTAATGTTGTTCTCAACTTTGCCATATAAATGTTCCGTCTATTATATAAGTCTATGGTTACACCTGATATATTTACATCATGGGCATATCCCCACCGCCTCGACAAAACCTACCTAGTAGAAGAGATTAGGTGGAGCAGACGGACGATTCTTCTTGCCCATCGCGTCTGTTAGCTTGTGGGTAGAGCGAATTCTTGTGAGCTGTCAATAGTACTTATAAATATTTTATTTCAAATATTTTAAGTAACAAGAAATAAAATAAAACTAAAATCTCAATTTTTTATAATAAAAATTAACATAAAATTTAATAAACTAAAAAAACTAATTTGATAAACTAAAAAAATATAAACTTAAAACCAAAAAAACAATCTCAAAAACAATTAACACTTAAATTTGAAAATAAAAATAAGAGATTTTCAATCAAAAAATAAATTTTTAAACTAATTTTAAACTAATCTTTAAATTTAAAACTTTTTCATATATATTTTAATTACTTTAAGTTTAATCACTATCATTGCAAATAAATATTGCACTAAAACTGCAACTTTGAACTTACAAGGGGAGACTACGACGATGGAACAATCGATTTGGACGAAACTTATAGGATCGATAGATGATTATGTGGAGTATTGCAAGGTAAAGTATTAAGACGCACTACTCAAGCATTCGCGAGAAAATCGAATTTGAAAATTTTGATGTACCTTATGAAGATATTAAATAGGCTATCTAAACGAAGAGTGCGTAGCGTATCGGTAGCGTACTAGGTTAGTAGTGTCGATGCTGCTGATTCGAGTATCGATATATTTTTTTTTTTTTTCAAATGTTACAATATAATCTAAATGTAAGTATTACGTTTTTACTTATTTATTGCATGTTATAAAAGTGCATTTTTTGCATAAAAAATCCGTGATGTAAAAAATAAGATAAAAATAATTAGATTGTTACTAATTTCTGTTCTGTTTGTAAAAAAACGAATAAATAATTGTACGCAACATGTAAAAATATATGCAACATGTTTTAAAGCACACACATTTCTTTGTAATATTTGTTGAACGTTATACCTTTGAAAGAAAATATTATATCCTTAAAAAGTAGAAAACAGACAATAAGTAAACACGAGAAAATTTCCGTTACATTGTGAGAAACAAGATTTCATCCATTTGACTGGTAACAGCGAGAGTAGACAGAAAAGAAGAAAAGTGTGCAGTGCTAATTAAATTGGAAGATACATTAAAATGGAAGGTGTACCTAGTTCTTCATCGAATGAAGATTCGATGAATGAATGTGATAGATAGAATGTGATANATACAAAAAATTTACTGCTCAACATTTCAACGATAGATGCATACATTTCTTCGCCAATTTGTATTGCCTTGTGCGAAAGTGTCCCAGATGATTCTTGGGCCACGAGATCATTTTCGAAAAGTAACTGTTCCAGATAAACAATGGCATCTTTTAGCAGTAATTTTGACTCGTCACTGTGAATTGATGTACTATCACATTCATACAGTCAAATGGATGAAATCTTGTTTCTCACAATGTAACGGAAATTTTCTCGTGTTTACTCATTGTCTGTTTTCTACTTTTCAAGGATATAATATTTTCTTTCAAAGGTATAACGTTCAACAAATATTATAAAGAAATGTGTATGCTTTAAAACATGTTGCATATATTTTTACATGTTGCGTAAAATTATTTATCCGTTTTTTTACAAACAGAACAGAAATTAGTAACAATCTAATTATTTTTACCGTATTTTTTACATCACGGATTTTTTATGCAAAAAATGCACTTTTATAACATGCAATAAATAAATAAAAACGTAATACTTACATTTAAATTATATTGTAAAATTTAAAAAAAAAAAAAAAAAAATATCAAGACTCGAACCAGCAGCATCGACACTACTAACCTAGTACGCTACCGCTACGATACACGCTCTTCGTTTAAACAAACTATTTAATATCTTCATAGGGTACATCAAAATTTTCAAATTCGATTTTCTCGCGAATGCTTGAGTAGTNCNTCTTATTACTTTACCTTGCAATACTCCACATAATCATCTATCGATCCTATAAGTTTCGTCCAAATCGATTGTTCCATCGTCGTAGTCTCCTCTTGTAAAATACATCCAGAGAACATCCANAAATCAACCTACGTATGTTTCAAAAAAATGTTCTCGGGATATCTTCTAGACAATTTTGTTTTGGACATACTATGCTGCCTCGATCAAACTTATCATATTAACTTATTAAAAATTACTTATATAATATTAATATTTACTGTATATTTTAAGTGTATTTACCGCATAGGTTATTTAAATATATGACCGTTCCTTACTACATAGAAAATCATGTATAGATTGTTCGATGTATANAAACTNTAACTATAACAGATATTATTTATCATGATATCTTAAAATGTCCTATAAATGTCCTAAGCCGTCCTGGACATATTNAGGATAATTTTGAGGATTTCTTGTACTATCAGAGTATTGTTAATTTGNTACATGTATATGTGCATATTGCACAAAAGTTTGTTACAATGTATGTTCTCACTATTNNTTTATTAATACAAAAGTATAGTGGTGCAANAAAAACATTTACATGTTTGAACGTTACGCATATTATTAAGCTCTAATAACAAAATACGATACAATACGCGATATGACGGGGTTTCAAATAAAAATAACATATATATATTTTTATATATTTTATTAAAATAAAATTAAAATATTATTATATATTTATATATTTATATAAAGTAAAATATTTTTATATATTTACATATGTATATAAAGTAAAATATTTTTATATATTTATATTACATAAATATTGGTTATGTTACACACACACACACACACACACACACACACAATATATATATTTTAGACCTTCCTTGCCAGATATAAAAAATGACCTACGAGGTGTCCAGACTGGGTCTGTGAAATCCACGCGACTTTAAGTTCAAATATCTCCGCAAAAAATAAATAGTTTTTGAATTTCTTGTTTTTAATTGAAATTTTGAACGATTCTGCATCAATCAAAAGAAACAGATTGAAAAAATCTCCAATAGTTTCAAAGATATAAGCATTTAAANAAAAACCTGACTATTTTTCAACAAATTTTTGAAAAAAGACTTTTTGTTTAAAAATTTAGAACTTTTTGTGTAATTAAGATTTCTACAATATTCCTACGCAGATTTATACTGACTTGTTCGTACTTTCAGAGACAAACCCTTACGAAAAAGAACTA